AAAAAGATTGTGTCTTTGGCATGTCATGGATTTTTCATCAGTCTTCATCTAATCCTGATGCTGCATTGTTCATATTGTCCAACATCTTGGAATATTTGCTCAACAAACAGATCTTTCAGTTGAAAAATGCCACTCATGTTCTTCTATTTTGGTTTTCTTTCCACATTTTATTTTACTACTTTATATCATCTTCTCCAATTGCTCTTCACAATCTTCTATTCAACTCCTTTACTTCACCATTACTTCCTTTTGCTTTAGCTACTCTGTTCAAGAGCAAGCTTCAGAATCTCTTCTGGCATCTATTTTGGTTCTGTCTTGCTTTCTTTGTGAATGATGTCCTTAATGTCTTCCCACAACTTGTCCGGTCATTGTTCATTAGTTTTCAGTGCATCAAATGTGTTCTTTAAATGACCTCAAAATTCAGTTGGGATATGTTCAGAATTGTATCTTGGCTCTTGTCAACTTGTTTTAATTTTCTTCAACTTCAACCCTGGCCTTCTTGTGACTGACAGTGTTTATCTTCATCACAGTCCCTTTACACAGATGTTGGTTTGATTTCTGTGTATTTTATCTGGTAAGGTCGGCTTGTATAATTGTCACTTATGTCGTTAAATAAGCATTTGCAATTAAGCAGTCATTCCTCTTGCAAAATTGCAGTATTTGGCATCCTTTCTGTCACCAAGGTGTTATTTTCCAACTATTGATCCTTCCTATTTCTATCTTTCCTATCCTAATAACCAATAATTATCAAAGCATTTTGGCTACCTTTATTTTTTTCAGATGGCTGATCTTCAGTTTCCTCCTCTTTGACAGTAGTGTGTATGATAGGTAGGTTTATTGTGCCAACCTCGCCAATAGGAGCAGGTGGGATTAATAAGGTCTCTGATTGAAGGGCTAAGAGATAAATGGCTAGGCAAGGCCCACCTCTCTCTCTTGCTTTCTGGTGATTGGACCAACATGCCGCTGCTTTAGCTAGTTCTCTGCCCCAACTTGTGAGCTACACTACCTGTGGGACAGCCAACCCGTGGATTGTGTAGCTAGAGCTTGAAGTTCCTTCAAGACCTGCTTTGCCACACTGCTGGTCTGTACATCACTTGAGCTGAGTCTGGAGATCCTGTCGTCTTGCATTGCTTGAATTCGATATCCCATCAGGGCTTGCTTCGCTAAGCTCCTGAGCTGCTAGCTGTTGATGACCTGCCTACTATTTGCTGCCTGTGGGTGGACTGCTTGCATTACCTAGGGAAGAATCAGCTATCTGATTCCTTGACCTTGGACCCAGCAGCCATCATGAGTCGAAGGACTTCTAGTATATTACCTGTTCCACAGAAGTGAGTTAAACTGAGCACTCTGTACTGCTGTGTGGACTAATTAGCTGTTATATGTTTCCGTGGTGTGTAAATCTTATCAATATATAGATATATATTCATAAGTGTCCTGATTTTGTTTCTCTAGAGAACCCTGCCTGAACCAGTGTGTAAATGTGAATAAATATTATATTAATCAGTCTTCCTTATAGGCATATTTTTATTATGTTATCACTGCAGTGCTATCCTTTAGAATACATCTTAAAATAATTCATTCTCATGATGAATGTGACACTATACCTGTTCAGGCATATTCCTACACAGTAGATATATGATTGTTGATTCAGCAATACCCTTGGGACAGTTCCACAATCCAATTGGACAACAGTCCATTTCAGCTTACTAATTCCTAAGATATCAATCTTTATGTATTCTGTTTCATTTTTGATGACTTGTAATTTTCCTAGATTCATAATTTTTACATTACACATTCAAATTGTAATGGACTTTTGCAGCTGTTTCTTTTCATTTTGAGTCATGCCCCATTAGTAGATGAAGATCCTGACAGCTTTGCTCATCGATACATGTCATTAAAGTCAGCTCTCCTTTTAAGAGTCAGCTCTTCCACTCAGCCTTTCCCTCTGAGAAGCTCTTGCACCAGCACACGTTCGCACACTCCTCTGCCACACATAAGGTTTTCAATGACTAATTTGTTTTCAGAAGTGCCACCAGGCTCTTCCTGTTCCTAATCTATCATAGTCTGGACACTCTGGTGAAACCTTTCTACCATGGATGACTTTGCTACTATTTGCAATACCAGTACAGAATCCCAGCAATACACAAGTCACTGCATTACGACAAAATGATAGACAGTTATGGAGGAGTATCTTAGTATTAAATTGAAAGGCAATTTGGTGATTATTCAAATGAAATAACTTATTCATAGTTAATTTTTTTCCAGTTGACATGCTAACATTTATTTATAAGGCCAATTGATAGTATAATGGAGAACTGGAGAAGGATTCAGAGGATATTGTCATCACTCCGTTTTTTCCTTCCCATTTCCAGGTTCAGGAAATACCATGAAGTTCCTTCTCTAATACCTTTTTAGTCAACCTCTCTTCTACAATTTCAGCAGCAAGAGTACTTTTCTCTAAAGTACTAGGCAAATTGCCATTTCTCTACTTAAAACTTTCAGATTTCCAAATAAAACTCTTAAGAAATACTTGTCTTTAACATAACTTCTAAGGCTCCACATGATCTAACCACTGCCTCTCTCTAAAGCCTCATCTTCTTTCCTTCTATAATTTCCATAGCTTCTCCATTGCAAATGTCTAATGTCTTTATACTCTTGTTCAGCTTTTTACAGTATTAATGATTTTATTGTTTCTTTTGTACTTACTAAAATGTGAGCTCTGAGTCTGCCTGCCTGTGCATGCTGACGGTCTGTAACTAGAAGTTGATGTTTGACCTAGAGTGAGGTGCTCAAGAGGTATTTGTTCATACTCTTAATAATTCTGATACTGAAATCTCCTTTCTCATTTCCTTCATGACTGATTTTTTTCTCCTATATAAATCCTAGAAAGATACGTCTTTAGGTGAGGTTGTTTTGTTTTTGAACAAACCAAACTATAAGTAGTCATAGTCCCCACTCCATTCTCTAGAAATATGTACCAGTATAATAAGGTTTATACTTAGGGGCTCAAACATAACAGTTGTGAGGAAGGTGCAGGACTCGATAGTATTTCTTTCTGTAGTTCCTAGGGTCACTATGAGCTGGAACCAACTCAACAGCACCTAACAATGTGATGACGTTGTTCATTTTTATGTAGGTTTTCTAGACTAGTTAGCTATTGCTTCATAACATTCTACATATCCCTTCATAAACCTTTTCAAACCTCAGTTCACATATTTTTTTATTCTTAGAAACTTTATTTAGCCAGTAAAAAGAGAAAATAAAGGAACTAGAACTTTCAGGCAAAAAGAAGCATGAAATTTCAACATGAAATTTGCTAGAGTATCACACAGCCATTACTTATTTATTTGTGGCTGAAAGATGATGAATAAAATGTTTTCGTAGTCCTAAAAACTCTTTTATTGAATTATAAACACTAACAACCTAAAGAAGACTTCCTATTATGAATTTCTGGTGTTTTATAGTATAACTATAAACAATATGTATTTTCTAGTTTTAAAAAAATTCTTTACCAGCCCTGCTGACCTTGTCCCATTCCACCCTACCAATCTCCAGCTTCCCAACAGTATTAGATAAATTGAAAAAATTTTTTTAAATTTTAATGTAATGTGCATGAGGCTGCTACAAGCTTGTTCTGTCTAAATGATTACATATTACTTAAGTCATGTTGCTGTATGCATAAGAAATGTTCAATAAATGAAAATTTTCCTTTTAGTTTTATATATTTATTTTACTCTTGTTTGAAAGGCTTCTTAAATCAAATTCTGTTTAAAAACTAGAGTAAGTAAGCAGTTCTAAACTATCAGTTCAAAAATGTATACAATTTTCTGTTTGCCTCTTTTTTGTTTTTCACATGCTTCTGCCTGTCTTTTTAACCTTAAATACTATTCATGATTATTGCAATAAGCTTAATGGGATCAGAAAAGAATTGTCAAAAAAAGAGGTAAGACTAAATTCTTGAGGGGAATTTATTCTTAGATCCTGGTCAGTGATGCAAAAACAGTAGGTGTGAATAACATATAAGAGCTGCTTTATTAAATTTCATTCTGGTCGTTAGCTTTAATATTTATAGCTCTTATAATGATAGATGGAATCACACACAAAAAATATTATTTAGATTTCTTATCCCAATTGGAATATTTAATCCTACTTTGTATTATAACTATAAAATAATTATTTTTGTTTTTTTAACAGCTGATTAAGAAGGCCATTAATAATGTCAGAAGAATGACTTCTCATCCAACTCTTCCTTATTGTAAGTTAAAGATAATGAGCAATTATTTTTTCATTCTTGTGTCTTTTCATAATTAAAAGGCTTTTGTTTCATTAAAAGTCAATGTTTATTTTACTATTTTCATAGAGAATGCTATCAAATAAAATCACCAGAAGTGTATTAAAATAGAGAAAATTTTTGTTGAATTAAATAGATGTTAACTCAATGGACTATATTTATAGTATTTTAACTACATATTTTAAGCGAGCATAATTTATATCTGCACATAGAATCCTTAAAAGAAAATACTCACTGCCATTAAGTTGATTTGGACTTCTGGTTACCTATAGAACACAGTAGAACCGCTCCCTAGAGTTCCAAGGCTATGCATCTTTAAGTCTCGTCTTTCTCCCTAAAAAACCAAACCCACTACCATTAATCCAACTCATAGTGGCCCAATAGAACTATTCCCTAGACACAATGGAACTAGTCCCAGGTTTTCTGAGACTGTAAGTCTTTACAGAAAACCTCATCTTGCTCCCTTGGAGTGGCTGGTGAATTTGAACTGTTGACTCTGATTAGCAGCACAATGTGTAACCAACTACGCCACCAGGGCTCCTTGATGAACTCCTTAAACCACAAGCCAAACTTAACTGCCATCGAGTCAATTCTGACTCTTAGTGAGCCTATCGAACACTGGTTCTCCACCTGTTGGTCGCGACCCCTTTGGGGGTTGAACGACCCTCTCACAGGGGTCGCCCGATTCATAACAGTAGCAAAATTACAGTTATGAAGTAGCAATGAAAATAATTTTATGGTTGGGGAGGTCACCACAACATGAAAGTTTGAGAACCACTGCTATAAGACAAGGCAGAACTACACTTGTGAGTTTCCGAGATTATAACTTTTTATGATCATAGAGACTTAATGCCAAAGGAACTCCTTAGACACAGCTAAATTGTAGAAGATAATAGAACAGCTGCAATCTTGTGTTGCATAGGCCATAGCCAGAATTTGTTCATTAATTGCCTCACTGTAATCAGTTTAAGAGATCTTGGGTGATGAGACAAATGAATAAGCTATTGATTACTAATCAAAAACATTGGCAGTTTGAATCTTCCCAGAGCCATAGGAATGAAGACCTGGTGATCTTCTGAAAGATGATAGCCTTTGAAAACCCTATGGAGTGTAATCAAACTCTGAAATGGGGCACCACGAAGGGGAATCAGCCCCGCAGTAGCTGGTTGGGTTTTTTGTTTGGCATAATCAATTCATTTTTTATTAATTTTTTTGGTCAGTTTATGTTTTTATCACTCATTAATAAGCATGGGAAATAGTTATTAATAAGCACATATATTCTAAGGTTGGACATACAAGTTTATTTTCCATTAATCTTTTTTAGGAAATTCTAAATTTTGTCTTCATTTACCAGTGAACTTCATGGGGAATTTAATGGAAGTGTTGAAACAATGAAAAATAATAGAAATAAAATACTGGTGGGTTAGAATCAGTATTCATTTTGCCATGTGAGTATTGCAAATTGTAGCCTTTGTCAAGTTGAAAACTAGAAATACATATTTTTCATCCACAAGTCAGTGTAATGTGAAGCGAGAACAAAGAGCAGTTATAAGGTTTGTAAGTAAGGAATCAAACGTATTTTGTACACAAAGCTTCAATAATTACCACTTTAGACAGTGCTCCCTATAGGAAAAAATATTTGCCATTGCTCCAGTCTATCTCTGTGCCTTAGGGCGTGAAAGTTTCTTAAGATATGGAAGGCACCTCAGTTTTTTCTCAGCCCCTTTCTGACAGTTTACCAGTTTGTAATGAACCAATCCCCTTGAAATAAAGGGAGTCCCTTTCTTCAAAGTTAACTAATGAATTTATGTTCAAAGGTATTAGGTAACATGAAATCAATTCTATTGTGAGGGGTAAGTACCTTGTTCAGAGATTACTGAGTTTAGTTGAAAGTTAATTAAATATACCTGCCCTTTTTTTAGAATATCTTTATTTCATGAGCAAGTTTCACAGGTAATAATTTCATTCAATAAATGCTTTTATGCAATAGAAATGTTATGAGATGGAACTTTTAAGATTTGGCCCTGAAGTAGATACTTCTTACTAATTTATTTTTTTATTTGGAGTAGATTTTTAAAATTTTATAGTCACTATAACCTACATTTTTACTTGTACTCCAAAGAAATTTTTAGAAGTTAAGCTAATGTCTGTACAAGCAGCCTAAAAGTTCACAGGGAAAAAAAATCCATCATCTTTTGATTTCATTTTTCCACAGTTTTTTATAAGCACTCTTGCTTACTTGCCTGGAGTCATCAGTTTTCTCTTTCAGAATAGTAATATCTTTCCCCTTTTCACTAAGTATCTACTGAGATCATACTATATGGTAAGTTCTATATGTACGCGGCTGAGTAAGAAGGATGAAAAGGACCATATTCCTTGGTGTCAGAGAATCCTTCAGAGTTATGAAGACTGATGTTTGCATGGTCTATTAGTCTGTTGTGCAAATTGTTACCATCACTCTTCTTTCATACAAATGGAACCAATAATTGCACTGGAGGTGGTTGCTCGTGAGCTTTTAGAACCACTGTTGCTATTCACCAAAGTAGGATATAGAACATTGTCTTTTGAACCGTGTTTTGCCATTTGACCTTAATGTTCCCCAAGGCAAAATCCCACAGAACCAGCAAAAGTCCATTTATTTTACATATTTGGTAATAAATGATGAAAACTTGGCTAATACATGACTAGCAACTTGCTAGCTTATATTTTAGACATTAATGTAATTTTTCAGTATCACTGTACCACATTATCATAATTGTATATGAATGTTTATTATATGCTTGGAATATTTCTGACAACTTTATTAAGTTATTTCATTTAATTCTCATAAATATTTAGTAATTTATAGCTTTATTTTCCAGGTGTATAGGTAAGGCAATAGCTCAGACAGCTTTAATTATGTTTCTGAGTATCACAGAATATGAGTATCACAGGCAACGTGAAGAATTAGTAATTATTTAGCTTGTTCTACTCCCACATTGAAACAGATGATATATATTTGCTTTATTGAGTAAATTAGGTTAACTTATAGAAATTATACATAGCATTTGAGTTTTTTTGTTTCATGTTTTAGATAATAGCCCTACTAATTAATTAATTCATAGCCTGAATTATATACTGGCTCTTTACTAATCCCAAGAATGTGCTATATGAAGTAATTATAATAAAAATTACTCAATAAAGGCTATTAAAACACCTTTGAGATTGTTTTAAAGAAAAATACAATTTTTCTGATTTACATATTTTTATTGTTTTGAAGATGTGCTTGCAGTCAAAGGAAAGTACATAAAACTATTTGTGCTTTTGCAAAATATTAAAGTAAATTTTATACAAAGAATTACTTGGTGGGTAATTTCTTTCATGAAGATTTTCACATTGGATTAAAATTTTTTCCCTAAAATGATTATAATAAATTTTCAATTTCTCCCCTTCTTTTCTTGCAGATCTGACAGGAGCTCAAGATGGAAGTGTCAGAATGTTTGAATGGGGCCATTCTCAACAAATAACCTGTTTTCGATCTGGTGGCAATTCAAGAGTTACACGAATGAGATTTAACTATCAGGGAAATAAGGTAGTATGTAGACCTATAAGTGTGATTGTATTGGAGGTGTGAAAGCATAGTAGTTTGTATCTCTAAACAATATAGCTCATTATGCTAATTTATGAAAATTTATGCTTGGTTTGGTGTTTTTTTTAATATATTCAAGGAACACTTAATAAGCTCAATTGCTTCTTTCTGGAAGTAAATTGTTACATACTCATTAAAATTCACTTAAATAACTTGTAAAGACTAGATGATTATAAGATAAAGTTTTTATTAGTAAATACTTCCACTTTCTTTATCCTATGGAATCTTGTCATTCAAAGTGTGGTCCAGCACTAAGCAGCAAGTATCATTTGGTACCTTGTTAAAAATGTATTATTCCCAACCCAACCAACTGATGCACCTGCAGTTTAACCAGATACTCAGTTGATTTGTATGTATGTTAAAGTTTTGAAACACTTCAGAGCAGCACATCAGTAAACTATGATCTGACCTTTTGTTTAACAAATGAAGTTTTATTGGAACAGTGCTGTACCTATTAATTTATATACTTTCGTATGGCCTTCTGGGTTAAGCTGTGAGCTGCTAACTTTTATGTTAAATCCACCAGTCACTCCATGGGAGAAAGATCAGGCTATCTGCTTCCAAAAAGATTTATCATCTCCGAAACCCCGAAGAGCAGTTAGTTTTATGTCCTCTAGGGTCACTAGGAGTCACAGTTGCTTCACTGGCAGTGGGTTAGGTGTATGGCTAACTTTACCACTATAGCAACAGAGTTCAGGAAGACAGAGACTGTGTGATTACCAAGCCTAAAGTGTGTATTATGTGGCTCTTTAGGAGAAAGTTAGCCAACTTCTCCCCAAGAGCATCCTTTGCTGTCTTCCCTTCTTATACACTACCATTTGCTCAGAGTCTCTCTTTGCCCCTGGTATCTCACTAACACACTCACTAACGCTATTAAAGGGCAAATCAACCTGCTCTTTGTCATCAGTATGAGGCTCCAGTAAAAACTGTCTTTGGCTTATGGTATATCTTGCCATCCCTTTTCCTTCAATCTCCCAACCTGCAGATTTCCTCACCTATAACCTGTCGGATGGTACGCTGGAAACTTTTTGTCTACTATGTTTATTACACAGCTCTATTCTATTTCATAAAAGTCAGGGATGCTCTTTCCGTGTAGCTAAAAAGCAAAATTTTCAGAGCATATAATTTCTGAATACCAATTAGTATTGTTATTTGTTCCTTGATAGAAAATTAATGGGCTTTTTGGCAGAGACCCTTAGAGTTTTACAGGCCTTTCGATTGTATTCCATATCAATATCCTTAGTTTTTATGCTTTTCCATTTTGGTTATTAAGATTATTTCTAATTTGTTTTAGTACCTCAACTTATCTCTAATTCATCCTTAAAATTCCCAACAAAGCTGTATAGCTAACAACATATATGTAACCTCACTAACAATTAAAGAAATATAAGTTTAAAGTAACCAATGTTTTTCTTGTCTAAAATGGATAAATATTTGAAATTTTAATAATACTGTCACTATGATATAACAAAAGGTAATTCAATCATCATAATCATTTCAGATAGAATTTGTTGACAAAGCTTTCCAATTTGTAGATGTGTTTTTTATAGAAAAGGAGCCGTAGTGGTTAATTAATGTTTGACTGATGGCAGAAAGGTTCCTAGTTCCAACCCACCAGCTGTTCAATGAGAAACAGTCTCAGGAACCCTATTGTTATGAGATGGCACCAACTCGACAACAGTGGGTTTGGTTTTTGGCTTTTCCTAGATAAATACTGAAAATATATATATATCAAAATATGCAACACTTTTTATTTTAATTAGAGAAAATGGACAATTGTCTATAAGAAAAAAGGTTCAGAATTAACTAATAGCACAGCCTAAGAATAAGGTAGATCTCTATGTATTTATATACAAAGATGGCTATAGTAAGTCAAAATGTAATTGTAAAACAGCATATTTGTTGTAATCTTGGTTTAGAATAACAAACCCTAAAACCTATGTGTATGAATGTTTGAATATACACAGAAAAAATTTTTTAAATAAACCCATCAGATGATTAACAGTTGTTAGATCTGGGGTAGGGGCAGGTAGGTGTACAGGGTAGACATCTGTTTATTTTACATGCACTACATGAATATATATAACTTTATAATGTAAAGAAAAAAAGTTAACAGTCTTATGCAAAGACTTCTTTCATCATTGAAGTTTTCCAAGTCAAAATTGCTCTGAATTTCTCCAGTGGAATTGTTAGACTGTGATAATCCTGATTTGTTCACCTGATTGTATGTTTCTGGAAGTCCTTAATTTGTCTTTTTCAGAATGAACAATCTATCTTAAATATAAAGCTTGGTCACATGAATTAATATGTAAGTCTAGAACCCTGGTTTTGGGTTATTTATAGAAAATATGCAGATTATAGAGTAGGTTCATGTAGTAGAATGTGTATGACAGGATACTTGTTTCCTTTATATCTGTACTGTAATTTTTTTTAACACAGGAGCAAGTTGGGTCCATGTATAGGTAAATTGAATGTCATCAATCAGATGCTTAAGAGTCAATATATGAGTCGTAATGAGAATGAATATTAACATGAACTTTTTTATTTGTACTAAAAAAATTTAAATAATTTTCTCTAAGTTTGGAATCGTTGATGCTGATGGATATTTGAGCTTGTATCAAACAAATTGGAAATGTTGCCCAGTAACTGGAAGCATGCCTAAGCCATATCTGGTAAGCCAATAATTTTTACTTTTAAGAAAATAACAAATTTTTATCTTAAGGAAGCCAAGAATATCGGTTTTAAACAAAAAATATTAAAACCAGTAAAAAAAAAATGTCCTCATGTATTTAATCATATTACTGGAAACTGTTGGTATTATATGAGAATTACTGGGTGAAATATTGTAAAGCATCCTGAGTCTAGGGAAATTAACCTGAATAGAACCAAAATAATAATCTGCAGAGAACCTGCAACCTGTGAGTCGTCATGTAAGCCATTTTCCTCCCTCACAAAGCACCACCTGTGCATTGGTTATTTTCTGCAGTTCCCTCTTAAGAATGAATAAGATATCCAATAGCTAGTACTACTGGGCTTTTTGCCTCTTTTGAAGAGCTACAAAATACTGATACATCTCTATTCAGGACTCTTGAATAAAACTTCAACAACTTCATAACACTGTTTGTATTAAATATATTCTTCATTTGTAAGACTGAGGAACACCTATTAGGATGAAATTAAGATTCTGGTAATTTACCCTAGATTAAATGTTGGAATGGAGTACTAATTTCAGTGAAAGCCATCAAGGAAGAGTTAGAGAAGCTATCTTGACAAGATAGTAATTTCTCATATTTTTATTAAGCCAACAGATATAAATATGCACATTTAAATTCCATGAGGAATTGTATTTTATTTCTTAAACAGGTAGATTATATTTATTTTAAGAACACATTATTTAGCCCTATTCCACAGGTGGTCTAGGGGATGGGGAGGTGGCTCAAAAGATAGGTGTAGTTAAATGAATTCATTTTTTATTAAAAAGAAAAATCTGAGCTAACATTGGGTGGAAGTTTTTCTTATATAGACTAACCCTTCCATAATATATTGTTTTTGGTAAACTATTACAAAAAATGACATTCTCTATGCTTTTGACTATTAGTAGTATATTTTTACATGTATTTAAAATTTTTTTAAAATATGACTTTAACCATTTGCAGAAAATTCTCAATAACATTAGCTAAGATAAGCAAGTCTGAGATCATCTAAAATCTCAGTTTCTGTCTTCCCATAAAATAAAAGTGTTATCAAAAGTATTAAGTGAAATATTTGTTCTTCTTTTCTTTCCCTTTGTACTTTTTAGTTGAACAAAGTAAAGGAGTTTGTCATAAAGGGTAATGACACATGTAGTTTACACAAATGGTTCTAGAAAAACAAATTAGGTATGTGTCTATGAAAAAGGGAGAAACAAAACAAATGTTAAAAATCTACAAATCTGGCTAGAAGAATTAGAGTTTTCTGTGTTACTCTTGCAACTTTTCTAAAGTTTGTAATTATAGGGGAAATTTAAAAAAAAAAGAACCAAAAACCACATGATCACTTTTTGCATAATACATCTGCCCAGAACTGAAAGCTTTTGTGACTGAAATAACATTTATTTATAACATTCCAGACTTGGCAATGTCATAACAAAACAGCCAATGATTTTGTCTTCGTGAGTTCCTCCTCTCTGATAGCTACTGCTGGTCTTTCAACAGACAATAGGTAAGAGATTATAGCTGAAGTGTGTGCATGTGTAGCTGAGCTTTTATTCATTTATTTTAGACTGCTGTATTATTTTGGTTTATTAAGCATTGTTTTCATAGTTTTTACCTTAAGTAATTCTATCATAGGGATTTGTTTCTTTCTTAGAACCTTTTTAGTATTCTGGTCATACACCTAATGAGATTCTGGTGCCCTTAAAATCAAATTCTATTTCTTTGCTATTTTTAATTTTTTGATATTAAGACCAAAAAAAGTGGGGGGGGGCAGTGTTTGCTTCTTAGTGCAATTAATTTTCCCCTATGTTATTCTCTATGTATTAAGAAAGGTTGGGGTTACAAATCGGGAACTTTTATATATTGCATTGTTAATTAATCTTTGCAAGAGCCCCATAAGGTAGGAAATATCACTGTTTCACAAGAGAAAACAGGAACTCAAAGAGACTTCTTGTCCAAGATGACATACCTAGTACCTGGCAACCTCTATCTGGACCTCCCCAAGAAATCTGACATTGTAAGAAAATATCTCTTCTCCACCCTCATCATCTCTCGCCCACTTTTGCTTTCTACCTTGTAGCTGCATTCTAAGACCTAGGCCCACTATCTTTACTGAACGTTCATATGTAGCTGTGAAGTCTCACTTTGTTGTACAAATGGGATTATAGGAATATGGAGGCTATGGCCCATCATCCATGAAAATTCATTACATAGAGTTGATGTAATGAAAAAATGTTTTGCAGCTCATAAAATGGAGTGAAGGCAAGTTCCATTCATACTAGAAAATCTGTTTACAACTAATGTCTTTCATTATTTGTGTACATTGTCTAGAAGTTAACAAATTTGATGAATATAAAATATTGTTTTCATATTCTGTCTTCATATAATATTTTTATCATGTTATCCTAAGGTAACACAGTTTTATTAGGTACTATTTTTTAATTTGTGTACAAATAATTGATATATTGGCAATTTACATGTATTTGGTGCTTCTATAAATCTAGGAGCCTTCAGTGAGAGCATCGCTCCAGTGTTACATAATTATATGGAACAGAGTTTAAAATCTTTTTATCCTCTTTTAGCCTTTTTTGTCACAAAATGCTTTTTTTCTTTCCAGGAACATATGTTTGTGGGATACTCTTGTTGCACCTACCAATAGTTTAGTCCATGGTAAGTTTTATAAACATCACTGCTATCCATTTCCAAATGGAAATTCTGTATATTAATCTCTAATCAGATATTGGGCTCCGGGTGCAATTACGGTTCCTCATTCCTCTTGTGATCACCCAAAATCTCTACCTAGGCAGTAAGCTAGGGAAATTTTAAGTCTTGCACAGTTCGTTTTCCATCTCTGAAATCATTCTTCATTGACCAGTGTCTAGTATCTTGAACCATTGTTTTCAATATTTAATTGGATTTTGAATTATTTCTGGCAGGCAAAGAAATCTGGTCTGTTTTTCTATCTTGACCAGAAGTAGGAAGTCTTTCTCTTTTTTTTTTTTTCTTTTTCTTTTTGGTTAAGTGGCTCTTACTTATTTTTGTTTTTTCACTTTCAGCTTTTACTTGCCATGAGAGTGGAGCCACGGTGTTAGCATATGCCCCCAAACATCAACTGCTGCTATCAGGTGGCAGAAAAGGCTTTACATGTGTGTTTGACCTTCGCCAACGACAACAGAAGCAGCTTTTCCAGAGCCATGACTCTCCAGTGAAAGCCATTGCTATTGACCCAAGTGAAGAGTACTTCGTTACAGGATCTGCTGAAGGGAATATCAAGGTAAATACCGATCCCACAAGGTCTGCACAGTGGAAATCTTCAGAAACCTTAGCCTTTTAATCATATTGATGACACTCAACAATGCTAATTGTTATTTAGTACATTTTGTGATACATGAAATAACATTTACCCTTAAAGGTTTTCTGCTTTTTTTTAATTGATATTGAATGTGCTTAATTAAAGCATGCAAAATAACTCTGTTTCCATTCATTTAAACATATTTTAGAGGTACATTAGAGTTAGTCTTGACTCAGAATTCATCCTTTGACTTGTAACTTAGTGAATTCAGTTTTCATACTGAGACCTAAACTGACATTTTCCTTTATCGCAAATTTCTTCTCATCTTTTCATAAATTCAGCAGTGCCTGATTCAAGAATTCTGGATGTGCCCTGATAAACCCTACCTATATCAGTCATTCTCCAACCCTTACTATGTTTGAAGCACATAGCCACCTGATAAAATTGCTAAGCAGCTTATCCAAATTGCAAATTCCTCAGTCCTAACCATAGAATACTGGGTTGATTAACTCTAGCACTGAAGAATCTGAAATTACATAAGATAGGCTTATGTAATTATGTGTCCTCTGGCCACATTTGGAAAGAGCTACAGGGATAGGTCAGTTTAGATTAGCCTGTGTTATTCTGGAGAGTGTTCTTGAGAGGTTATTTTATAGAGCCCATTCATTTAAACAATAGAGAGCATATTGAGTGCTAATAAAGTTGTAATTCTTGTTTAGAAACAGGCAAATTGTTTTCATAATTCTCAGCAAGAAAAATAGCTAGAATGACAGAATTTTGAAAGGGTTTATTTTATTTAAGACAAGTATATACCAAAAATTCTTTTGCTTCGTGATTGCTAGGTGTCAACGGGATCAGGTCTCAGGCATCAAAGAACAAAAAATCAAATAATTGTGAATGAGGGGGAGTGCCTAGTGGGGACCCACCTGTAGGCAACTGGATGCCCCCTTACAGAAGGGTCGCAGGGAGGAGAGAAGCCAGTCAGGATGCAGTGTAGCAACGATGAAACATACACCTTTTCCTCTAGTTCCTAAATGCTTCCCCCCCACTATCAATGATCCCAATTCTACCTTAACAATCTGGCTAGACCAAAGGATGTACACTGGTACAGATAGGACTGGAAATACAGGGAATCCAGGACAGATGATCCCTTCAAGACCAGTGCTGAGAGTGGTGATACCAGGATGGTAGGGTGGAAAGGGGGAACCAATTGTGAGGATCTACATATAACCTCCCTGAGGAACAGACAACAGAAAAGTGGTGAAGGGAGACATCTGACAGTGTAAGATATGACAAAATAATAATTTATAAATTATCAAGGGTTCATGAGGGAGTGGGGAGCGAGAAGGGAGGAGAAAAAATGAACTGATACCAAAGGCTCAAGCAGAAAGCAAATGTTTTGAGAATGACGATGGCAACAAATGTGCTTGACACAATGGATGTATGTATGGATTGTGATAAGAGTTGTACGAGTCCCCAATAAAATGATTTAAAAAAAGAATTATTTTGCTTTAGTTTGAAGCTCGTTTCCTATTTGAACAGCCTGCTCCTAGAATAAGTCAGTATGTTTTAGATTAGATTGTACTCTGATTCTGCAATTTATTGGTTAATCACAGTTCTTCAAAGGAAAACTATACAATATAGTATTCATAATTCAATAAATTCATAGTTTTCATAGTATGGATTAGTATATTCTTAAGGGGAAGAAACGGGTTTTCTAAATATCTCAAAAATATCCGGAAACAAATTGGTTTTCTTACTCTAATGGATGTATGAAAAGCATTCACATAAGTGAACATGCTCATAATTTATTTTAGAAAATTATTTCAGAAATAAAGGACTAAAGATAGAATGGCTTAGTAAATTATTCTGAAGTTGTAATTATTAACTTTACTTTGTAGTTGGAACATAACTTTGCTTAGTGAGAGAGCCTCTTGGTTTTAGTCATTTCCTTCTTTCCAGCCCTCCTGATCTCCTGGTGGGTATTTTGATACAGACAGGGATTATATGCCCTCTGACAGCTGTAGAGTTAAAGCTTTGCTGAGAGATAACTAAGAAACCTTGATAAGAGTTCCTGTAATACTGCAAGTTTCGGTAGCATTTGACATTTAACTTCCTTGTACTTTACTTTAAGCTCATCTCTAATTTGGAGTTAATAAGAACTTTCTGCCTTGGTGTGCTGTAAGAATTTATGATATACACGCAATTAGAAGGACCCTTAGTTGTGCTGTGGGTTATGTGTTGGGTTGGTAAATACAAAGCAATGTGTTTCTTTTAGACATAGTCAGAGGAGCCCTGCTTACTTAATGGTTACACGTTAGGCTGCTGCCCACAAGGTCAGCTGTTTGAAACCACTAGCCACTTTTCTGGAGAAAGACAGAGCTTTCTATGCCCCCACAATAGTTTTATTTTCTCAGAAACCCATAGGGGGCAATTCTACCCTACCCTAAAGAGTCAGAGAATCATCTCAATGGCGGTGAATGAGTGGTACACAATCAGGAGTCTAGGTGGCACAATGGGTAAAACTCAGATACTAACTTAGTAAGTCACTCATTGAAATCCCTCAGTAGTTTGTGAGAAAAAGATGTGGCAAACTGCTTCTGAAAAGATTTTGGAAACTCCATGGGGCAGGCAATGGTACTTTGTCCTGTAAAGTTGCTGTGAATCCGAAACATCTCAGACACAGTGAGTTTCTTTTGGTTTTTATGCAGAGTGTTAAAATTAGATCTACAAAGTTTCTTTTGTATCTTTGTTTTGGAAAATCCTTATCTGCTTAAAACCAAACCAAAAAACAATGGTCATGTAGTCAATTTTGACTCATGGCGAACCCGTGTATTTTAAAGTAGAACTATACGCCTTAGGATTTTCTGCTGATTGTTTGTTTGTTTATTAATTCTTAAAAGTAGGTGCTTCTGTGTGGATTTGAATGGCCAGCTTTTTGTTTGTTTTTATTTATTTATTTTTAAGTCATTTTATTGGGGGCTCTTACATCTCTTACAACATTCCATACATCAATTGTATCAAGTATATTTGTACATTATGTTGTCATCATCATTTTCTAAACATTTACTTTCTATTTGAGCCCTTGGTATCAGCTCCTCTTTTTGTCTTCCCTACCCTCCTCACACCCTTATGACCCTTTGTTAAATTATAAATTATTATTATTTTCCTATCTTACAGCGACCACTGTCTCCCATCACTCACATTTCTTTTTTTTTTAAATCATTTTATTGGGAGCTCATACAACTCTTATCACAATCCATACATACATCAATTGTGTAAAGCACATTTGTACATTCGTTGCCCTCATCGTTCTTAAA